AATATCTGGTGGTAGAATATGACTTACAATAATTTAGTATATCGGCATACCACGGTGTATATATTTCATTAATACGATATAATTGCTCATCAGGAAAATTTTCTAAAATTTCATTTGCAAAATTAGTTAATATTTCTTTTTCTAGTCTAGATAAATGATCAGCTATTCCTTTCTATCAACTACAAAAAAATTGAACTCTTGCAATAGATTTATCCATCTAATTAACCTTCGTTTAGCATCCTTCTTTTGCATTAAGTATTTAATAGCAAAATAATTTGAATGCACTATACATTTAGTTCTAATAAATTAAAGTCTAAATTTATTAAAGACATAGATAATAGCTAATAAATCTCTTTCAGTAGTAGTGTAGTTAATTTGAGCATCAATGAGAGTTTTACTAGGATAATTTATTACTTTAAAAACTCTGTTGTGTCTTTTCTTTGTCCTAAAACATCTCCAATAGCCTAATCACTAGCATCACACATTATTTCGAATGGTTTTTCCTAATATTGTGGTACTATTACAAGTGCAGTGATTAACATCTCTTTCAATAATTCAAATGCTTTTATGCATTCCTCATTAAAATCAAATTTTGTATCTTTTTCTAAAAGTTGGCATAGTAGCTTAGTTATTTTTGAAAAAGTTTTTATATAACGCTTGTACAAACCAGCATGTCCTAGAAAACTTCTTACCCCTTTGACCGTATTCGGTGGTGGTAATTTTTCAATAACTTGAATTTTTGCAGGATCTACTTCCACGCTATTTTAAAAAAATTTATGCCAAAGTACAATTCCTCCTGCAACCATTAAATGACATTTTTCCCAATTTAGTACCAGGTTGATTTTTCCACATAATTCTAGAACTATTTATAAATTATTTTAACATAATTCAAATGAAGTTCCAAATACAGAGAAACCACCCATAAATACCTCCATTCCATGCTCAATCAAATTACAAAATATTAACATCATACATCTTTGAAATGTTGCAGGTGCAGTGCAAATCCAAAAGGCATTCTATGAAAAGCAAGTTCCATAAGGGCTTGTAAATGTTGTCTTGTCTTGATCCTCAGAAGCAATTGGAATTTGATGATAACAGGTATATCTATCTAAAAAACATAATATTTATTTCCAACCAATCTATCTAACATTTGATCTAGAAAGGGTAAAGGAAAGTGATCTTTCATGGTGGCCACGTTTAATTTTCTATAATCTATATAAATTCGCCAACCTGTAACTTATCTTATTGGAATTAATTCATTTTTCTCATTTACTTTAACGTTCACTCCTCCTTTCTTTGGAATACAATGAATTGGGCTTACCTAAGCACTATCTGAAATAGGATATCTAACTCCAACATCTAACCATTTTAAATTTTCTTTTTTTACAATTTCTTTCATTATTGGGTTTAATCTCCTCTTAGGATCATCTTTAGGTTCGTAATGTTCATCTAATAAAATTCTATGCATACAAATTGAAGGATTAATTCCTTTAATATCTGCTAAATTCCATCCAAAAGCCTTTTTATATCTTTTTAACATTTCTATTAGTTTTTGCTCTTGAATTTCAGTTAACTCAGAAGATACAATAACAGGTAATGTAGATGAATCTCCTAAAACAAAAAAATTAAATGAGCAGGTAATACTGTCAGTTCAAGTTCAGGTGGTTTAATACTTGAAGGAATAAGATTTTTATTATCATTTTACAACAAGTCTAAAGTTTCAAATTTGCCCTGGATATAATCAAAATCTTCTTCTTTTATTTCATCCTTATTTTCCAAAAATTCTCCTTGCTTTAATTTCTCTTCAAACTCATTCTTAAATTGCTCATTACTCAGATAATCAGTTACTTCTATCTTAAAACATTCATTATTTTTTTCTATTGTTGGATATTTCATAGCTTTTGCAATATTAAATGTTACTTCTTGATCATTAACTCTCATTATTAATTCTCCTTTTTGCACATCTATCACAGTGTTGCAAAAAATGGTATCCCCAAAATAATAGGAATTTTTTTATCTTCCTCCATATCTAATACTATAAAGTCTACAGGGAAAATAAATTTATCCTCTTTTACTAATACATCTTCTATAACTCCTTTAGGATAAGTGATTGATCGATCAGCTAACTGAAGAGTTACAATAGTAAGGGAAATCTCTCCTAAATCTAAACGTTTAAAAATTGATAGAGGCATAAGATTCATACTCGCTCCTAAATCACATAAGGCTTTTCCATAAAACTTTTCTCCAATTGCACAAGGTATAGTAAAACTATCAAAAATTTTTAACTTTTCAGGAAGTTTTTCTGGATAATAGCGCTACACTCTTCACTAAGTGCAACAGTCTCATGATGTGCAAACTTACTTTTCTTATTTAGCATATCTTTCTGTTTAGTATACCTTCATAAATTTCACATAATTTGGCATTTGTTCCAAAGCTTCCATGAAAGGGTTGTTTATCATTAACTTTATAAGGATTTCCAAAAATTTTGTAAATTGTTTGTCTTTATTCTTCTATTTTAGCCATTGAGGAAACAGAGGTAATGCTTTTATAAAGGAACTTGTGTTTGCTCATTTTCATTATGGTCACTTTTCATCTCTTCCTTCTCATAAACAACTTATGTTTCTCTTTAGATTCTTGTTTTCCAAAAGTCTTTTTATATCTTTTTAACATTTCTATTAATCGTTGTTCTTGAATTTCAGTTAACTCTAAAGATACAATAACATGAAATGTAATGAATCTCCTAAAAATACATATTTTAAATGAGCAGGTAATATTTGATTTCCCATATTCAACATTACCTCTTCCATCATTAACTTCTTTTCCTTAACTTGTGGGTTAGGGTTAGAGTTAAATCCAGGAGGATAATAAGGTCGATAATTAGGATTTCCTTGGTTATCTAAATCACCCCAAGTTTTGATAGATCTAAGTGCTAACAAATGTAACCATATCTTAGCCTTATCCCTCAGTGAGAAAAGAAAAAGTCTAAGTTTTATTACATCATCTGATACACCATCATATTTAAATGTAGCATACAATTCTAAAAAATTGGCAAGATGTAAATTTGGACCTTTAGCTGGTGCTCCCCCGAACTGATTATTTGATACTGTTTGGATAATAGCAGGTTTAAGTTCAAATGAATTAGCCACTACAACATGTTTTTGAATACTACAATGAAGTTCATCCATTGTAGAGTTTGCATAATCTCTTAAAGGTCTAAACCCTTGATTAATTTAAGCATTTTGATTATTTTGATTTTCTATTTCTTGAAATTTTTGGTCTTTTTTTGTATTTTTGATTTTTTTTATTTTTTCTAATAGTTCTTTCTAATTCAGAATCGTAGGACACTATTATTTTAGAACCTGAACTACACATACATTACTACAAAA